GGGGGGGGGGGGTGTCTTCCTCTTTTTCACTGACCCTCTCTACCTTACCAAGCATAAGTGTCCTTCCCCAGGGACAGTTGTTGTTGTTGTTAAGTGCCACCCAGTCAGTGCTGACTCATAGTGATCCTGTATAGGGTTCCCGAGGAACAGCTGATGAGTTTGAACCTCTGACCTTGCAGTTCAACCTGACCTTGTGGTCTAATGCTTATCTTACAGTGCCATAAAAGGACTTCAGAGATAGATAAAGATGATCTAGATCAAAATGTAGACATAGACATAGAATAACCCACAGCCATCTAGTAGGTTCTGACTCATAGCACCCCTGTACAGGGTTTCTGAGGCTGTAAATCTTCACAGGAGCAGAAAGCCTCCTCTTTCTCCCACAAAGTAGCTGGTGGATTTGAACTGCTGACATAGCAGTTAGCAGTCCAGTGCTTGTTCTACAGTGCCAATGTTGTTAAGTGCCGTTGGATCAGGTCTGACATACAACACCCCCGGTATAGGATATTGGAGGGAAGGCTGGTAGATTTCAACCACCAACCTTGCAGCTCAAACTGACCTTGCAGTCCAGCTCATTAACCCATACCACCACACCAATAAGCATAGATATATCTACATAATCATTACGATACCCCTGAGAAGAGGGTGAGAAAAGTGAAGTTCTGAAAACTGCCTAACTTTCGGAGCATGACTCCCCCAAATCATTGACTCCAGTAAAACAAGGGGTCCTTGATCTCTGATGCTTTTGGTCCCAATTCCTTGCTAAGCTCCCAGGTCAGAGCTGCCAGCGTGGGGCTCCCTGCCACGTTAGCCCAACCTTTACGTGCCCAAATACACAGAGGGGACATACCAGCAGCTAGTCCAGTGGGAAACACCTGCCCTCCAAAGCAAAATCCACCCTGCCACCACAACCCTCTTGTCTGAGACCTGGAAAACACTGTGGTAAAAAAAAACTGTTAACTGGACTAATGGACCACGTGAGCCTCAGCTTCAAAGAGCTCAGTGGTGTCTAGTTACCACTACTGGCCTCTATGAAAGGGATCACAGTAGAAGTCCTGGATACAGTGAACAAGATGTGGAACAAAACTCAAAGTCATAAAAATAAGACCTGTTTCATTGGTTTCATAGAGCCTGGTGAACGTCCTTAGCCATCTTTCAAGTCCACAACTGAAGTCACCTGCGTGGCTCAACTTTCAGCCAGAAGTAAACAGTAACACCAGGGAAGTATTCATTCCTTAGAACACTCAGTCATAGGCGTTCAAAAGGAAAGCATTTACCCAGAGGTTCTAGTGTGGTGCTGTGGGTTAATGCAATGGACAGCAAGGTTGGTTTGAACCACAAGGTTGGTGATTCAAGCTCACCAGCCACTCCTGCAAAACCCTATACAGGGTAGCTATGAGCTTTGATGAGTCTACAACACTTAACAACCACAAAGCTCAGAAAGCAGGAAGGGACAGGCAAGAAGGACAGTGGGAAACACACAGAGGAAGTGGGAATGGTGTTGTTCTCTTGTGAGGATTGCAGCCAATGTTATACAACAAAATCTGTACAAATTGTTGGATGGAAAATCAATTTACTCTGAACATTTTCACTCAAACTACAACTTTTTTTTTTTTAAAACCTGGGAACTCTAAGAAATCCTATAGCTGTGTCCACCCCAGGGGGTGTGACGCAGAGAACCCACCGGACTCACCCCAGCTGTCTCCTGCTTCAGGATCCCAGCCGCCTCCGCCCGGCCCAGCCCCAGCTGCAGCCACACGGGGCACGTTCGGACAAGCTTCTCCAGGACACTCATGCCCCGTTGGGGCAGACAATTCTTGGGGGCAGTTGGTACACAGAGCCCCACACCATCTTTCTTCTCTTCTTCCTCACCCTCTCCTTTGCCAACATCTGTAATGAGACTGAGAGAAGAGAATCCAATGATTGACTCATCCCACAAACAGCCCAGAAAGGGGTGGATTACAAATGGTAATCACCTTTGGGGGATTAAAAGGTGAATTTAAAAATGGACACCTTGACTTCAATAAAGCAGGTGAGCCATAAGTAAAAGCAACTTACAGTACAAGGGCAAGGGCTAGGGCTAGGGCTAGGGCTAGGGCTAGGGCTAGGGCTAGGGCTCTTAGGGCTAGGGCAAGGGCTCTTAGGGCTAGGGCTAGGGTTAGGGCTAGGGCTAGGGCTAGGGCTAGGGCTAGGGCTAGGGTTAGGGTTAGAGAGATGAAGTCCAGCAGGGCAGTGAGTACATTTTTTTTTTTAAAAACTTTTTATTGTGAATTGAGTGAAAGTTAACAGACAAGATCATCATCTTTACCTTCAACAAATTATCTGCTTTGTTTCGTCTCAATGATTACAATCCCCTCCCTGCAAAAACAGTGATCCCTTCCTCCCTGTGGTTTCCCTTTTCCATCATATATTTCACAAACAAGAAAGCAAACTTGTTTGATGTATACATTTGTTGTTGTTGTTAAGTGCCGTGGAGTCGGTTCCGGACTCATGGTGACCCTGTACAGCGTTTCCGAGGCTGTAAATCTTTATGGGAACAGAAAGCCTCATCTTTCTCTCGCGGAACAGCTGGTAGTTTCGAACTTGAGGTTAGCAGCCCGATTCGTAACCACTATGCTATACATTGTTGTTGTTAAGTGCCATCTAGTTGGTTCCGACCCATAGCGACCCTATATAGGGTTTCATAGACAACACAAAAAAATATATTCATTTAAATGTCCTAAGGGCATGTTTTTAAGCCACTCTCCTGCCCACAGGCATGCTGTCTTACTCAGTCCATGGGTCTAGAGCCCACTGATGCTCTATCCCTGGAGATGATTTTTTTTTTAAGTTTTTATTGTGAACTGAGTGATAGTCTACATGATGAACATCAGCTTTACACCATTGTTTCACTGCAATGATTACAATCTCCTCTCTGCATCATCATTCAACAGTATTGTTTCCATTCCCTGGTTGTTTTTTTTGGGGGGGAGGATGTACACAGAAACACTCAGGAATATATAATAATTTAAACAACCAAAGGGCACATTCTACTATCCTGCCTCCTGGCCACCAGCACACAGCCTTTCTCTTTCCATGAGTCCAGAGTCCTCAGCTGCTCTCTCTCTCCATGTCCTCATCTCTGCCTCCATCTCTGGTGTCACTACTTCCTGGAAAGGATTTTTTAAAAATGTTTTCGTGAAGTGAAACTTACACACAGTGAAATACACAGTGTACAAAATGAGAATTGTGGTGTGGATGAGGAATAATGAATGGTTCATGGACAGTCAAAGAAAAGAGCACACCAATCTTAGAAGTGTGGTCAGAACGCTCCTTCGACGAGGGAATGGGAAGACTCTCTTACTTACTCACATCACCAGGAAAGACCAAACCTAGATAAGGACATCATGTTGGGTAAAGCAGAGGGCCAGCGTAAACGAGGGACACCCTGTGTGAGGTGGACTGACAATATAACCCATAATGGACTCAGATATACTAATACTCATGAATTTGGCATAGGACCGGGCATCATGTCATTGGGTTATACATAAGGTCCCCACAAGTCGAAATTGACTCCATGGCAAGTAACAATTACCACACACCCTTGTAACTACCTCCCAGATCAAGATAGGAGACCTGCAATGTCTGATACCATAGTCACTAGCCACAATGGGTTACTGAACTCTAGTGTGAGTAAGAGTGGAGGACCAGAGAAAAAGAGGAAGACCCCCGAGGAGATGGACTGACACAGTGGCAGAAGCAATGGGCTCAAACTTAACCTATTGTGAGGTTGGTCCAGGACTAGGCCGTGTTTTGTTCTGTTGTGTGTAGGGTTGCTGAATTGTGATGTGCTGCCAGTGCAAAATACATACAGGATTTCAAAGACTTAGTATGAAAAAAAAAAAATCTCATCAACATTGTATATTGATTTCATGTTGAAATGCTAATATTTTGGGCTTATTGGGTTACATGAAACATTCTTAAAATTAATTTTACTTATTATAAAGCAGCAAGTTGTGGTTTGTGCCTCTCATTTTGTTCTGTGTGTCTGTGATATGTCTCAAGTTGGCATTCAGGTCACATCTAGGAGCTACTTGGGAGAGGCAAGGAATGAGCCCCATGAGGGACACAGGAATTTAGGATCACTACTGGGAGCAGAAAGGGGCTCTGGTAGTGTAGTGGTTACGAATTGGGCTGCGAGCCTCAAGGACAGCAGTTCGAAACTACCAGCTGTTCCGTGGGAGAAAGACGAGGCTTTCTGCTCCCGTAAAGATTTACAGCCTCGCAAACCCTGTACAGGGTCGCTAAGAGTTGGAACAGACTCCAGGGCACATAACAACCACAACCTGGGAGCAGAGGAGGGGTCTGAGGGCAGCAGAATGCAGAAAAGTCAGAAGACAGAAAGCACTTCCCAAAGGGGAGGGAAGCTCTGGGGGCTTCTGGGGGTCGTGGGGCGTTGAGGAAGTGCTGGCTTCAGGGTATGCTGCTTTAGCAAAGGGTTTCAGCAAGACCTGACTGGAAAGAGACTGTTACATTGCTGTATCTCTCCAAACCACAGATCCGTGAGTCTTTTGTGGGCTTGGCAGGCCCTGTGGAAGGGAGAAATGCTGTCACAGCCAACACCTTACAGCTGGTCTTTGGAGGACACAAACAATCTAGCCCTCTACTACCAGCTGGAAGGTTGGTGGTTCGAACTCATCCAGTGGCACCTTGGAAGACTGGCCTGGCTATCTGCAGTTCTACTCCGCATACACGGGGTGACCATGAATCATAATACATACAACCAACAGCACCAACAAGCAAAGTGGGAAAGGAGCTAAAGTCACCCAGAAACAAGGCGCTATGGGGCTGGATGGGGTCCCCACCCCCACCGCTGCCTCTGCCTTCCCAGGAAGCCCAACAACACCTTCTGAGGGTAAATGACTTTGCCATCATCCTAACATCCTTGCTTACCACAGTCTGCCTGTCAGCAGTGAGGACGAAGGTTCCTGTTCCTATTTCATGTCTGCTTAGAATGCTCACCTTGATCTTGGCCAAGGCCTTTTCTCTACTGGCTTCACCTTCCTCAACTGTACAATGGAGGGGGGGAGGGGGGTGGCCTCCATTTGCTGGGTGGCTCTGTGGGATCTGTGCTTTGGGGCTAAGGCACTATGACTCACAGGGTCCTCTATTGAAGAACAAAAGCCGTGACCCACCAGTTTCTGGAAGAAATTAGGGACTCGGTCTCTTATTCATTTGTGCTGCAACTATTTTCTGAAAGTCTGACGGTGTCCTAACAGCAAACAAGACAGTAAAACCAATAAAGCCCTGAAGTGCTCCTGGAGAGGACAGGTGATCTACAAGGTGAATTGGTTTATTGGTTTATGGGATGGTGGTAAGCAGACAGAGGAAAAGTAGGGCTACCAGGGAGAGGGAGCAGGGGGAGGTGGGGTTTGAAACCCTCAGGAAAAGATGAATTTGGAGTAAGTACGTGGAGGCAGGCGTATGGGGAAGAGATTTGCAGGCTGAAGGAACAGTAAAGGCCAAGCCGTGAGTTGGAAAGTGTGTCTTGTCTGAACCTTGAGAAGGCCATGGTTGGGGGTGATAGGGTGGAGGCTGGGAGGTGAGTTCAGACCGGAGCAGGGAAGCATCAGAAGGTTTAGTGGGCCTCTGGAGGGTTTTAGAGCCACTGGGAGAGTGGGGGTGGCTCTTCATCCATGTATATAAATGGTCCCAGGTGGTGCCAACGATGAACAAGCTTGACTGCTAACCAGAAGGTTGGAGGTTCAAGTTCACTCAGAGAGGCCTCAGAATAAAGGCTTGGCTGGGGGGGAGAGGGGGGGGCATCTGCTTTTGAAAAATCAGCCATTGAAACCTCAGGGAGAACAGTTCCACTATGACACACCTAGGGTCCTCATGAGTCCCTAAGCACAGTTGAACTGGCTGCTTGTTAAATCGACTTCCCAGAGGTTGAGGGAGAGTGGGACTTCTGGGAAGGAACTGGTTCAGGTCAGCCCTGCAGGCTTCCTCAGCTTGAAGAAATGAGGACAATGTGGGGCCTGGGAGGCCTCTGGCTCCAGAGAGGGTCAGTGAGACAATCAATATGCATCAAGTACTTGGCAGTATTACATAAATCTGCAACATTGCATAAATATGTAAAATACGATAGTTGAAATGAAATTTGAAATAAATGATGTGCTTGGCACATCCTTCCATAAATGTTAGCTATTGTTTTTCTATCTCTCCTGCTCTCTAATTGGATTTCTTCTCTCCTCACAATACTGCATCTTGGTAGCCGAATGTTTGTTAGCACTTGGCTCCTTTGATGAGACTGACCGCAGTACTCTTGCCTGGAGCCCCCGACCCAGAGGAAATCCACAGTCTAGTGTCTGGGAGCCACAGGCCTGGGTCCTGATACGGAAACCAAACCCCTTTCACATCCTCAGCCCAGCTCGACTCAGTCACAGAATCCATTCCAACCCATAGTAGCTCCTGTAAGGCTCCCAAGACTGCGATCTTTATGGACGCAAACGGACACATCTTTCTCCCACAGAACAGTTGATGGGTTTAAACCACTGATTTTCCTGCTAGCAGACAAGCAACTAACTACTGAGCCTTCAGGGTGTCTTGAACGCAGCAAGCGCCTGAGAAAAGACTAGAACCCGTTCAGGATAAGCACTGAAGGTTCCATCTCAGCTCCTCAGACTAAAACACTTCAGGGGTCCTGAGATACTGCTTTCATCCATTGCCGGGCCCTGTCCACATCTCTTCTCTTTCAGGTGGGCCAAGGTAAGCCCACCATGGACAGAGGCTCAGGGCTGCTAAGGGGAGAATCTATGGGTGACCAGAAAATACCAGAGAGCACATATAGCCTTGCAGATACAGCTCTGAGTTTATACTTCCAGTTTC